TCGACATCGAAAACTAACTAGCAACAAGCAATTTGGGCCAATTTGATGCCGGAAAAACTGCCTCGGCCTCGGCCTGGGCCTGAACCTGAGCCTGAGTCCGAGCGGGAGCATCGTCCGCGATCTCCAAAATGGCTCCAACAAATTTTCATTATGCAAATCAATTTTACACTTTTTATTACTGTCTCTGATGGAATTTTATGCATTAATTTCGGCCCGAGTCATTTAAGTGAGCGACTGCCTCCTCTTGCAAAGTTTGTTTAGGTATATATGTATTTACTTCCCCAGCCTCATTGGTTATTTGGGGGCGGGCATTATCGCAGCGTTAAAATCATTTCGAGTGCAAATCTTCAATAAGGCAAAACAAGAAAATTGTGGAAAATTCAGCGCCGCTGGCAGCTGACTTTCTGTTCGTTTTCACCCACCATCGCCGCTGCCGGAACTTAAAATTATTTATTTTATTTTTTCCTTTTTTTGTCACTGTACTTTCCATTTTATTTTTTTTGTTTTTTAATTTTTGCACATGAACCTCCCTTGCTTTTGCTTCTGGCTTTCATTCATCAAGCTAATTATGCGCTTCAATGCTTCTCAGTGGCCATTGTGCCATTTGCAAACTTCCAATCCCACCAGTTCTGTCTATACTCGGTGCCCTGAAAAGGGAGCTTAATTGTGAAGGTCAATGGCAGAGGGGGCACTATTTGCCAATGCCTATATGTATAAGTGCATTCCTCGTTTAGTTTTTGTTTAAGGACTTGAATTTGAATGCGGATAGAGCTGGACCCCATTGGATAAGGCAAAAGCTTTTTTTGAAATATTATTCAAAAATATGATTGCAGAGGATTTAAAGTTATTATGATACCTGAAACTAAGATAAGTCAAGTACATGTTGTTGTATATCAACATTTATATTCAAGTTCAGAATCGGCAAACATTGTATTGAGTGAAAGCTCGAATTTCTTAGTAAAATGTGCAATCACTTAAACCTGTTTTCTTGTAGGGATATGCATATGAAAATATAACATAGGTTTATCTGAAATTCTTAGCTACCACGAAAAGAATGCCTTAGCCATTTTTTGCTTAAATGTACATTGTTAACATTTTTGATTTGAGACGTCTGCGAGACTTGAACCATTTATTTCATTTGATGTCTGAGCTATGGCTATAGCATCGCCGGGGCTAATAGGACATTCACGTGATGTTGTTGGCAGGGCATGGAACTTTGCCTTAGTAACAAGATAAGTCACTTTTGTGCCATAGCCGTTGCTCATAAAATGTAACATGCTCCTCAGCCGCCGCACCCGCCATCGCAGAAGCAGCCTTCAATTACAGACATTGTGCTCTTGCCGGAACTGAGGGTTGTTTGTTGAAAGCTGCAGACTGCCGACCATAAAAACTTTGTCTATATTTATACAATTAACGCGATGAAAAATTTCAACAACATTTGTTTATCTTAAATTAAGACGCGTGTTCCAGACTATGATTAGAAAATTGCCAACAAATAAATTAAAGGCATTACATTTGTTTTTGGGATCCCCAACGGAAGGAAGTTCCTTTCTTTTGTTTCACGACCACTTTCAACGGTCGAGGGCTGTGCCCTTTCTTTGAGTTTAATGCTGATAGATGATGTTGATTGGAAAGACTGATGCGACGAACCAATAATCAAGTCAGGACCGTGCCTAAGCCCTTCGAGGCAGAGGCAGCGCGTGCCGCAGCTCAGCCCACGAAGATGGAAATGGCGCAAAAGAAAAGCGAGGAAATTCGTAAATGTAGAAATGCTGTTGGACAAAAAAAAAATGCGCACAGTTTCAGAGACGCAGTGTGCGACCTTTTAACAGTGACGCACATTCTTACAGAAACTTCAAAGTTGGGCGAGCCTTAAAATGGAATACGAGAGGCAACAGTCGCATTCGGTTGGGTCGGCAGCATGTGGCAGCCACAAGCCGCAGAGCCAGGGTGTGTGCCTTGCCATATTTCGTTTGCTGTCACAGTTCCCTTTTATAGAAACTGAGCTCCTTTGAATGTGCTTAGCTTTTGGCATGCCCTATCAAGGAGATAGCTACACTTTCTAAGGGACAGACCAAGGCGTTTAATTTTTCTTGTTCATATTCCAATCAATGTTATGAATTGTACATGCCATTTTTTGTTATTTTCAAATATTTTGCCCTGCATGCATTATTCATCATACAACCGAAATTATATAGAGTATTTGTAGTTCGAGTTTTTCAACTTTTTTGAAAGCTTTTCTGGTTTTTGCTCTCCTGTCTCAATGTCGTTTCACTTTCTTTTTGGTCCTGTTATTCATAGCTTATAAAACAATTCCCTTGGCTATTGCGCTCTAATGTTGGTCGAGCATTTTGCCCACACTTGTATCATAGTGAGGCATCTGCAAAAAAAAAAAAAAATGAAAATAAGAAAAAAGCAATGGCCGTATGACTACTTAAGGTAAATAGATGGCACTAGCCCAGCCTGAACCGGAACCTAGACCTGGCCACATGCACACGATAACCTACGCCTGCCACGCGCCCGATGCTGATGATGATGTTGCTTATGTTGTAAACATTTTAAGCAAATTGTTTAGGTAAATAGATAAGACGTGACCTTTTTCACGGGCACACAAATGCATTGTCAGTGTCCGCAGTGGACAGCCCCAAGGATTGTCTTACCCTGGGCGCTATAGGGGGTGAATTGGGGGCTGGCTTATGTCTGGCTAATGTATTACTTACCATTATTATGCTTTTTGCTTTTTTCTATACATATCTTTTATGTATTATTGTCAATTATAAAATAGCGGCACAATGCATGCTGGTTGCGTCTGCGGCTCCAGCTGCGACTCCTGCTTCTGCTTCGACTATTGTCATTGTCCTGGCCGACATGGCTTTTGTGTGCGGCACAATAGTCCTGGTCCTAGTGCTGCTTCTATTCTTCCCACATTGTCGTCTTTAAGTTGAAAAATATGCAAATAAATAAACATAAAGTAGGTAAAATTGTCTGGCCAACAACCCGAGTGCGCCTGAGTGGCCTCGTCCTGTTTACTTTGCCGTGGATTGGGTCTGCTTAACTCAGCTTGCCAAGTAGACCCGAGAGGCTTGCACTTAAAGTGTTAATGGTGGGGTTGGGTTGCCATATACGACTATGACCCTTGGGTGACGGGCACAAGGCGTGAGGGGTCAGGGTCACATATATCCATATCATCTTACTCCTAAAAGCCGAACTTTCTTTGACAGTGACATGATATTTAATGTTTACCATTCAAGTTGTTATGAATTTTCATACATATCTGAAATGTGAGACTGAAATCTAGACGTATTCGGATGACAGTGTCAATATGCCAAATTTTGAGAGTCTAAAGAAACAAAGGAGGGAGGGAGAGTTTTGAAACAATTTATATTTTATAGGTGACCTACGAATAATCCGAACCTCAAAAACTATAACGCTGAATGTATAAATTAAGAACGTTTTAAGTAAGAGCAAACATACTCAACATACTCAATGCAAAGTCGTTAAAACGCGAAATTGTGAAGAGTAAAAATAATTTATTTCTGTAAATAACATTTCATTCATTAATAAGTTGTGTTATAGAAAACCCACTTCCTTATTCTATATCACTTGATGTGTAGCTATGACACTTCATATTTTTATCTATGCCATGAACTTGATGGAATTACCATGAGTCAAATATAACGGCGCATGCGAATTTCGATAACGTTATCACATGGAATGACGAGCAGAAAAATTCATATGTTAATTTAAAATATCTAGTTAACTTCAAAACAGCTTATCAAATTTAATTATTGGGTATTTAATTGAGGCAAATGGGGAAACTCTTCAGTAATTGACGGCATGCTATGACTTAATCAACTGAACATTGAACCAAGATTCGCTGACTTATTATTAGATAAGGACTGGGAAACTCCTTGTTACGGTTACACTTTTAGATAAGGCAAAATGAATTTCTAGCGTTATAATAAATTTGGGAAGCGATGTTGGCGAGCAACAAATAAAATATGGGGAACATGTTCCAATTTATAGATCTAAGAATCGTTAAAAATTAGATGCTTTATACAGGGCACTATTTTTAAGGTGACATGACTCAAACCGTGTTTTGTACATCTTTGTTTAGGTTATTATAATTTTATAAATAAAGTTTATATATATACATAGGTACGTCTTTTCTTTGCAGACAGGCCATATGTACGCCTATAATAATATTTAAGTCCCATGGAAATGATCGATAGCAAATGAAGTTCTTATGTGAAAAACTTTGAATATATCTTGAGGCAACTTATTTTACTATGAAATCTATCTTCAAAGTAATTTTCAAAGAATCCATTCCTTCTTAGTATAATTGGGGATCATAGACTTGGTGGGTGAAGTTTAGCGCTCAAATGAATATCCAAAGATTCTAATGAAAAATCATTTGAGATGTCTCTCATATTTTTTTATCTTTTTAATCTTTTAACCATCCGCTTATCTTCAAAATTAACTTCAGAGATCTTTTTAAAATATCACCTCATTTAGGTGGAAAATAAATATTAAAATATTATTAAAGACCAAAATAGCAGGGAATTTTGATTTAAACTTTAGATTCTTAATTGGACTTTATATGCACTCTAATCTAAGTATTTTAAATAAAACTTTAAACGTTGCCTTGAAGATAGTGCTGGTAGGTTTAAATTGCCTACGGGCAGGAAGTGGGCGAAAAATGTTATCTAAAACTTGAACTTGCCACGGACAAGGCTGGAATATGCCCGCTTATATCATATAAATATCTCTCATGGGAGTGATCGATTAAAATTTAAGCTTATTATAAGAAAACTTTTTTGTCATATTTGATTTAAACGGGTTAAATAAAGTATAATTTTAATGGTAATTAAACTTCTTAGAAATACATTGAATTGCTAACCGAAATTATTAACTGAAATAATTTCTTTTAATCATAAATAAAATACATACAACTTTAAAATTTTAAATTACAGAAAAGAAAATATTATTATCTAAATAATCTAAAACTCTGGGTTCTGCATAAGTGACTCAAACACTTTTCTAGCCACGTTTCTTAACACCTTTCCATTGTTGTTCTGTGGCAACTCATTGACAAACTGGACTCCAGCGTTCAGTTGCTTGTATTCGACAACAACACGTTTGGCCACGTGCTCGATGATCTTCTCTTTGGTGATGTCAGTGCCAGGCCTCTTGATGACCAAGGCGCCGGCGGCATCGGTGTAGCCCCTGTTCCTGACACCGACAACGCAAACACTTTGAACCTCCGGCAGTTCGGCAATAATTTGCTCTATTTCGTTGGGCCAATAGTCCTTTGATTTGTACTTGAGCACATCCTTCTTACGATCGATCAAAAACAGATTGTTATCATTATTAAAGTAGCCAATGTCGCCAAGATTGATCCATCCGTCCTTGAGGGTGGAGGCAGTGTCCTCAGGATTACCCACATAGCCCTCCCATTTGACGCCAACGTCAATAAGTATTTCGCCGACCTGGTTGTGTCCCAGTGCGTTGCCCTCATCGTCTACGATCTTAACGTTGACACCTGGTGGCAGTCTGCCCACAGAACTTTCAAGACTGTGATCGATGTTGAAGGCAATTGCACCAGTCTCAGTGGCTCCATATGAGAATACAATATGGCAATGCTCCATAATTTCCTGGCCCTTCTGCATAATCTTCGATGAGAGCCAGCCACCGACAATAATACACATGCGCACGCTGGACAAATTCTGCTTTGTGGCCAATGGACTTGTGAACACCTCAAAGGCCTGCCATGGCGGCATCACAATCAAGGTAACTTTGTACTTTTCGATCATACGAATGAAGCTATCAGCATTGAAGGTTTCGTCAAATATGACTTGAGTGGTGCCATAGAAGAAAGTTAACATCATTAAGGAAAAGCCTGTCATCCAGTCCAATGTGGCACTTGTCAAGAACACATCAGTGCTGTTGGTAATTCTGTAAAGGATGTGAACCAGTTTAATTAAATTTAAAAAAAAAATGCATGTTAACTTTGCACTTACGCTTCCGTCTTGTTAATGTGTCTATGAGATATGGCCACCGATTTTGGCTTTCCGGATGTGCCCGATGAGCATAGAATGGCTGCTGTCTGATCGCCGCCAATGGCCAACACCTCGGGTCTAATAAAAAGGAAGAAAAAAATGTTTTGGAATAGCGCGAGAATTTTGATTAAATTGTCTGACTCACTGGTAGAAACGTTCCATGGGATGTGGTTTCAGCAGATCCTCAATGCTGGGCACACCCTCTACACGACCTGTCATCGTCACATACTTGGGATTCCATTCCTTGGTTACCTCCTTCATGATCTCATAGTGCACACTATCGCAAAACATAATCTTTGGCTTGGTAATCTCATATAATGCCTTTATAACTTCTGGTTCCTTCATATAGGTGTAGGCCACGGCATGGAAAGGCGTCGTGTTGAAGAAGCAGGCCACAGTTAAGGAACTAACATAGGTGCTGGCATTTCCAATAATGCCTACGACATCCTCATGGGTTAGTTTCTCACTCTTGAAGAACAGTGCTAGGCGTGTCGCCCAGGCTTGCACTTCTTCAAAGGTCACCACGCGTCCGTCTATTTCGCTGATCTGTTTAAGAAGATTTGCTGTAGCTCAATTGTTTATTGATTGTTACCCTTCCATTACCTGGGCGACATTTTGTGGCCAATTCTTCAATGAAGTGTATATTCTTTCACCCACGGAGCAGTCGTAGTGGAATTGTCGCCGCCTGGGTACTCCACTCCACACTTTTGTCTCCTCGTTAAAGAAAGTTGGGAATAGTGCCTTGGCTGCCATATTGTTTGTCCAAAAGTTAATGAACTACTGTCTGTTCTCCTAGTGGAATGTGTCGGCTTATATAGCATATCGAGTAGCTCTATTTAAAAATTTATCATATGATTGTTTATCGTTTGCCATTTGATAGGCATAACTTATTGGTGCAAAGTTTCATTTGGTATTTACGGTAAAGAATAGAAAGATTGGGGCACAAATGTTTGACCGCACTTCTTCAATAAAAAATGGCTTATCTTTAATTTCTCCTTTAATTTCCTTAAAAGCGCTTACGCCTCTTCTGATGTTTGTCGCCAGTCATTGGGTAATATTCCATATTCTCCATAGATAAAGTTTTAAATATCTTTTATTATTTATATGTTTATCAAAATACGTTTATTTGCTCTAATTAGTTGTAATTAACAAATATATGCAAATTGAATTCTGATAGGGATAGAAAAAACTGATTTTCTGTAGTTCCGTCGGCTTATTTTACAATCCTCACATTTTTTGAGGATTTCGGGTACTATAAAAACGATAAATGTGCAAAAAATATGAACACAAAACAAACAATTACCATCCGGGCAGCAGGACAACAGCTTTTCGTACCTTCCCCCAACAACTTCACGCTCGACCGGGAGCTTCATCCTCATCTTTTGCAGCTGCCAAAACAGTCAAGTGTTTCTTTTTCCGTTATTGCCAACCCCCCACAGGCCGGGCATCTAATCGAATTTGATGGCTTCACACTGATAGGAGCAGCTGCTGCCGCTGCCTCCGCCTCTGCCTCTGCCTCTGCTGCCGCCGCTGCACCTTCCCTACCACGACCCACGAATCCGGCCACGAGTTTTATTGCCTTTTATATTATTGTATTAGCCGTGTGGCATATGCTTTAAATATTTTGCCTGTCCCTTCGCCATCCTGAAGCGATGGCTTTTGTTCGGAGCTTTGTTGTTCTGCTGCTTGTTTCCAGCAGATTTCAGCGCCGATTTTTATGTTCGGCGTTTATTATGCTTTACTTTTTCGCGCCTCTTTTTAACCCCTTGTTTTATGTGACGTTGCGTGTGTCGACCGGAAATGCCTCATTTTTAGAAGTGTTTTGCATTTTGTTGCCGCCTGACTCTTTTTTTTTATATTTTGTTTCTGTTTTTTTTTTTCTGTTTTCAACAATTGTATACGAGTTTTTCTTTTTTCCTTGTGTGTGTGCGTTGTTGTTTCTGGTGTTTGGGCTTTTGGTTTCTATTTTGCTTTGCTTTCGGTTATTTGTGAGATATATGCAAATGTGTTGGCAGTTATTTGTGTTGAGGATTTGTTTTAGCTCCGCTCATGTTATGCATATGTATTTGTGTTTTAGTTTAGTTTTGTCAGCCTGACATGGCATATGGATATGGACGTGGATGTGGATATGGATATGGATTTGGTTTGGGTTCGTTATTATTTTTAGGGCCAGCTTTTCTTTGATTTATGCTGCCAAATGTGTTCACTGCAAATTCTGTAGCGTTCACGTTTGGGTTTCCTCTTTCTTTATTTACTCACTTCAAAGGGAAAATTCTTTATTGAATATTATTTAAAATTCAGTTAACGGCACTCATTGACTGTTTTTTTAATTATCTTCTTTTAAGTTTTAATTGCAGCTTGTGCTGATAACGCAGCAATTGCGCGTGACGCAGGTGGTTTGCTCTGATAATCCTCACCAGCTTATCGAGACCGGCTGAATGGCTTTGGCTTAGTTTACCGAGCGCATTGTTTGAGAAATAACGTTAGAAAATCGACGCAAACTACAAAAGACACATTTTTGTACCACGGCGTGTAAGCAATATTAAAAATTTGTTGTGCACAATGAATTTAAATAACTTTTTAATGTAAGCAAAACGAAAGGTTAGTCTCACAAAGTGAATACATTCCAGATCAATATTTTTATTTTACGCATTTACCATGCATGCTTTGTAAGGGCTATAAGGTAGTTTTTAACTTTAGAGCATCACCAATAAAAAGAAGCAAAAAGATATTTGAAAGGTTTTACAGATAAAAGGCGTTGACAAACATAAGGTAAAATTACGATTAATTTATGATTTTGAAAGACAGGCTTAGAGGAAGATATCTGCTGCCCAATCTATACATTTAACCCCCTATTTTTACTTACCCTCCGATCGGCCTCACACTCATTTTCAAAGATCTTTGTGAAAAATAATTTGTGAAGTGTTTCACAGATTAAGTAAAAAACTTTTCACAATTTCACCGCCTCTTTGTGATTAAAAGGGGGATTGAAGAGTAAACATTTCCGGACTTATGCTTAATGAAAGTTTTTTGTTTCCCAGTTGATTTTTAAAACTCATTTTCGAGGATCTGTGTGCAAATTGTTGTGTGACGTGCTTCACACGCTTCACAAATCTACCCGTCCAAGTTGAAAATGAACGTGAAGGGGATTCAAAGGTAAAATTTTAATTATCATCCCGCTAGTCTGGAAAGTTACCGGACTTCGGCTTCATGCAAGTAGTTTGTCTACCAGCCGATGCTTCAAACTTAATTTTGAAGATCTTTGCTAAAATTAGTTTTAGACATATTTTACACCTTTATAAAAATGAAGAATATAATTACGTTATGGGCTCTACGATGTCTCCATCTTTGCGTTGCAAATTAAGTAGAATATATTATAGAAGGATATCAAAAATTATTGTTATTAATTGGTTATTATCAATTGTCATTAAATGATTTTAAAGCCTTCAAGTTAGATTTACTGGCAGCAAACTTCATTTACCGTCAACTTTGTTTTGGGGGCGATAAGCCGTCTGGTCAATTCCCTGTTATCAGTAGATGCGTGCCGTATTAAAAAAGACAGTGCGTAGATCGGATAGTATTGTCATTAATAGTTCCGACGTCTCCATTTCAAACCAAAACAAACGATAAACCATGGGCTAAGCACATTTCTGGGGTTTTACCGGCGACAATCTGTGGAATTTCCATATGTGGTGGCATACGTCAAGAAAGTTAATTAGATCTGGGTAAGCTGATTCGTATGTGTGTTTCCAAACGCCATTTGTATAGTTAATTCATTTTTAATAATTTGTTATGTCATGAAAACATTATTTTTAAAAATACGCACAAAAAAATGACAGAGCAGCTTCTGGTTTTAAAGAGCAGTTCGAACGCTAGCATCATAAATAAAAGAAATGAAATCATTTCAAGCAATTTGTCTACAGTTTTGTGTCACACTTTCTGCGTCATTTCTCACATGCCATAAAAATGCTGCACAAACACACACCCACATACATAGCTATAGCTCGACTGGAGGACACACCACAAGGCAAGCTCAGGACCAGCTCCAGATCCGCACCCACTTCCAATCCAGGACCAAGTTGGCCACCCGGCAAGGTGTCACGCTGATAAATGGCGCTGCCTTACTTACGCCAACTTCTCTATCGGTCCGGCTACCTGTTCGCCCCTTCGACTCATGATTTTTCCATGGCCTCTGCCATTTTACGTTTATTTTTTACAAAACTTTTTTCGTGTGCCAATTTCAAGAAAGATTTCCTTTAAGTGTAATAAAATGCAGTGTCGCTGTCATAAATCTATTCCGCTCGATTGTCGACGACGACGCACGGCCACAAAATTGAAATGCATTGGCATTGAATAATGAATTCTAAAAGAGTATAAAAGAGTGCCTGGCAGCCAAAACTTTCACAAAGCGTGTCAATATTTAGCATTGGCATTTTATTATATGCAAAATTGTGTCGCAACGTTAATGCGGAAATTAAATATTTTCGAAAACTCGAGCAGAAATGAAAAAAAAGCACAGCAACAACTACAAAAACGCCTCGAAACAATTTCAAAACATTTTCGTTGACAGCGTCCCCGAACCAGACAAGAACACACACAAATTCTGTCCCTGTTTGCGCAGGAGAATATGCTACATAAACAGCGTTGGCAAGCCAAGGGTGTTTTGAAAATCACAAACACACAAATCTCGCGATTTAAAGGACTTTTTTTTTCTATAATAATAAAACATTATAAGATGTAATGGAGTTCATCAATTCATTAAACGTACAGCAATTCACTTTTAAAACATTTTTATGTTGGTGAATTTCGGTTGAACGCAAATTGTGGAACAGCAGCCATCTACTTATATATGTATATATAGTTTTTGCGCTGGCAAAACGTTTCTGCGAGCTGGCTTAAAAATTCTAATAACACAAATATTTGCAGATGAAAGAGGTACTAAAAGGCATTTGGCCGCACACTCCACTTGTCAAATGTAGAGTGAGAACGAGATCTATGGAGTGACGGGTAACGAGTGCGGGGAGCATATCTCCATTGACCCCTTACCCCATGGATGGTCGGTACAGCCAGTCACAATCTACCGCCCCGGATGGCAGTCACTGTCACTCCATCATTCTGGCTCCGGCGTTGGCATACTTTTTGACAACACCAGAGACAACAACAAGCCACAGACAAACTAACAAAAACGGCTCACATATACATACACATGCACGCACACAACCACACTCACACACAGAAAAAAATTTGTAATTTTCGTAGCATGTTTGCTGCGTTTTGCACTTTTGCTGCACATTTTTCATTTGCTGCGCAAAACTTTTTGACATGTTGCAGAGCAAATTGAATAAGTCCGCAAAAAAACAATACTGCAAAACAATAGAACAAATGTTGCCCGCATGGTATTGTGTGTGACTTTGTGTGTGTGCGTTGGTGTGGTTGTATTTGTTGACGTGCGTGTGAGGGACTCCTAGTCGAAATAATCAAATTTGCATTGTTGCTCTGTCTGGCTACTGTTAATCGCTTTCTGATGAACCTGCCGCCTCGCCCAAGTTTCAAATGATATCTCCGAGAATTGCTTTCCCAAGGCTCGAGTACACCGAAGCCTCAATTGCTTCTGGCCATCAGCAAAGGCAATATTCAACTATAGATGCACAAGTAATTAGGCGTCGGGCCTATATTGATCGACACAGAAATGCTTTGTAAGTTAGATAAGAATAACCTCTAAAAAAAAGTCAAGTGCTTTTTGCTGTTAAAAA